TTTTTTTGGGGGGGGGGGGGAGCAGCTGGGTTTGGGGCTGATTTTTGGCTGTTTTGAGGCGATATTTCAACTAGTTTCTGGCAGTGTTGTTTTGGTCGGTTTGGATCTGTTTAAGCGGCTATTTTTGGAAATTTTATGGAGTTTTTGTAGCCAGTTTCATGGATGTTTGGTGGGGTTCATGGGAGGCTATTTTACTGATTATTGGGGTTGATTTATTAGTCGTTTTTCAGCTGATTCGGGGCTATGTTTGGGATTGATTCGGGCAGTTTTTGGGCTGTTGTTTGGCAGAGATTTATTGCTGTTTTTTGGCTGTTGATGGATGATATTTTTGTGACTGTTTTCAGCTCATTTTTTAGCTATTTTGAGAGAGTTTTGGGGCTGGATTTGCAGTAACTTTAGGCTGTATTTTTTTGGAGGAAGATGAGGTGGTTTCGTGTGAATTTTTGGGAGGAAAAAAGGGCTCCCTTTGACAGTGTTTAAATAATAAAAAAATAAGAGAGGAAGAGTGTAAGAAGAGGGTGATGGGACAAGGGAATATAGTGAAAGGAAAGTTAGATTTGACATACGAATAGTATAGTAGGTGGGTGATGGGACAAAAAAATAGTATAAGGAAGGTAGAAAATAATTTTATTAGATTTGGTCTGTGATTGAAAATAATTCTTTCGTCCTCTATGTAATAGACTTTTTAAAAAATATTACATATTCTCTAATAAAACCTACTAATAAAAATAATATAAAAGTTAAAATATCAAGATTAAACCTAGAAAATATTAAATACAAAAAAGTGATGAAGATTCAAAATAGTAAAAAATTAGATGCTCACAACATGCCCTTCTGTGTTTGAAAACATGAAGAATTTTTAAACAAAGAAAAGGTAATGTAACGACCCGACTTAAGGTCTCGAGAAGTTTCGCAATATGTATTATGACCCGTGGGTGTGGTCAAGTTTGATTTTCGAAAGATTCAGAATTAAATTAAAAGTTATGGTAGGCTGTCTGGGAAGAGTTTGGAAATCTTTGTTGCACAGGGCTAACTTTTAAAGCTTATATCTAGTAATATATAAGGAATTGGGATATGATCAATAAATATAAGTTATAGTCCTTAGTGTCTAGTTTTTATAAAGTTAAACCATTTACAATTTGGAGCTTTCTACAAAAAATTATGACCATTATACTAGAGGTTGTCTGGAAGAGCTGGGCACTTGTTCTTCGCGATCGCGAAGCATTTTCCGCGATCGCGAAAAGTCAATTTTGGGCTGAGAAATGTTGTGCTTCGTGATCGCGAAGCATTTTTCGTGATCACGAAGAGTAAATACCTGGGCAATAGCTATATTTCGAAGTTTCAGCCATTTTTAACATATTTGGAGCTATGGAGCTCGGATTGAAACTATTTTTGAGGTGATTTTCACCATATGGATTGGGGTAAGTATTCTATATCCTAAAGTATTTATATTTCATGAATCTATGATTATATTCATCGTTTAATTCAGATTTTAATAGAAGAAATCAAGATTTTTGGCAAAATCTTCCAAAAAAGAATATTTAAGATTTGGAGGTCGAGTTGTTATCGGAATTTGATAAAATTGGTATGGTTGAACTCATATCGGAATGGGTATTCGGATTTCATGAAAATTATGTCGGTTTTCCGAGAGTCGGGCCCGCGTTGACTTTTGTTGACTTTTTGGAATAAATTTTTAATTCGCCGTATTATTATCTGGAATTATTTTCGATGAATTTTAATGAGGTTGTACAATTAATTTGGATAAATTTGAGTTGTCCGAAGGTCAATTCAAGCAAGAAGGTTTTCTTGGAATATCGGCCTAACTTCAAAAAGGTAAGTATCTTGCCTAACCTTGAGTGGGGAGAATTACCCCTTAGGCATTAAGTCTTATGTAAAAATTATGTGATTGGAAGCTGTATACGCGAGGTGACGAGTATGTACTCGGGCTTATATGTGAAAAATATATTGCGTTAAAGTCTTAGGTATATTGTGTAGTAAATTGGATAACCGTTGGCATTTATTAAATCATCTATTTGCCATGCCTCAATTCGCGTTTGTTGAATTTATTTTTATATGACAATTTGATGTGATTATTACTTGTATATTTATGTGAATTCCGTGAGTTTGATGATTTGATATTCCTTAGAATTTAATTTTATTATAGATTTTTCATCTGCAAATAATTAATGAAATAAGTTTAAACTGAGGCTTTATATAATTATCAAGAATTTGAATTATAAAGGTCGTGAATCATATTGAGGCAAAGTGCCAAATTATGAAATATTATTCAGTTGAGTTGTGCACTCCCGAACATTTTGTTAAGATGTTGTGCTCATTATGGCCGAGCCATGGGCTTCTTATTGTGGAAAAAAATAATATATTATTGAAATTTGTGATATGTTGTAATATTTGAGCATTTGATGAGCCATTTGTAATATGTGAGCACTTGATGTGCAGTTGTTGAAATCATATTTACTTTGGGACTACGGAACGGTATTCCGGGAGATCCCCTGCATATTTACTTTGGGACTACGGAACAGTATTCTGGGAGATCCTCCTACCCTGCATATTTACTTTGGGGCTACGGAACGGTATTCCGGGAGATCCCCTGTCTTGCATATTTACTTTTGGGACTACGAGGCGGTACCTCGGGAGTGCCATTTTGTTGATATTTTTCCATGGATGCACTTGCCTTTGGTTATTTTATTTTTTTGTGATATGTAAATTTTTGTCTTCTTCGGTGATATACTAGTTGACTTTATTATTATGTGTTTTGTGCTCCTTGTTGTATTGTGTTGGCTTCGGCTTTTTAGTACGAGACTCTGAAGATTTATATTTCTGGTTTTTACTGATTTTTTATGACTGAATTGTTTTAAATAAAAGAAAATTTCTATTATGTTTTATATAAATAAGTATTACATCCAAATCAGTAGTTTATCTAATGCTTTAATTTAAGTGCAAATGTTATTTTCTTCACTCAAACTATTTCTAAAGTAAATTGATCATGCAGATTCTTTTATATATTGATATTTTTGGCACGCGAGTTGTCTGTGCAGTTGTGATAAAAATATGGGCACGAGGTGCCGTGGAAATATGAAAGTAGGCTGAGACCCATATTTTTATGAATATGAAATGAGGTGTCACCAGGTGACTTTTACTTGAAGGAATTATATTCCAAAATTTTATTCGAAAGAATTATATTTGAAAGATATTTATTTGAAGGAAGTATATTCGAAATAAAATTATTGGAAAGTATTATATCCCGCAGATTATTATTTGAAAGATTTATAGGTGAAAGAATTATATTTGAATGACTTGATTAATTGATTGTACTTGTATTCATTATTTGTTGAGCAATATTTATGGTGTTCTTGCCGCCCTACTGTTTATATCACTGGTTGATTATTATTGCCATCATTGTTATTTGTTTGCTATTATTTTTGTATGCTATATTATAGAGGTTATTAGACTAGTGAGTGTCTTGATTGTACCTCATCACTATTCCACTGAGGTTAGTCTTGATACTTACTGGGTACCGACTGTGGTATACTCATACTACACTTCTGCATATTTTTATGCAGAGCCAGGTGTTGGAGATATCAGACTCGGACAGAGTTAAAGTGTGATTGCAAGGATTTAAGATATAGCTGCTTGGTCGTCGCAATCCCTTGGAGTCTTTCTATTTTATTGTACTGTTAATTATTGTTCGACCAGTATTGAGTATTCAATCCTTGAGATCATTCCATGTATTCAGTTAGAGTTCGTGACTCAGTATTACCAGTCTTCGCAATCCCTTGGAGTCTTTCTATTTTATTGTACTGTTAATTATTGTTCGACCAGTATTGAGTATTCAATCCTTGAGATCATTCCATGTATTCAGTTAGAGTTCGTGACTCAGTATTACCAGTCTTCGCAATCCCTTGGAGTCTTTCTATTTTATTGTACTGTTAATTATTATTCGACCAGTATTGAGTATTCAATCCTTGAGATCATTTCATGTATTCAGTTAGAGTTCGTGACTCACTATTACCAGTGTTGGGAGGTTGTTATATTTGTAATTATTTCCGTTGTTGATATATATATAAAAAATGGCTTAAATTATATTTAAAATCGGCTTACTAATATAAATAAAATATTAAATCTCTCTCTAGTAAAAACGCTCTCTCCTCTCTTTTCTTCTTTGTCCGACTGCTTATGGAGATTGAGCAGCCATGTCTGCGGTGATCTCTCCCTAGCCTTTGGCTGTGGAAGAGCAAATCCAGAACCGAAATGAAATAATTCCCAGCCTTAATCCAAAACAATCTTATGCTGCGCAACTTCACCCAAAATAATTTGCCCCAATATCGTCAAAAATCGAGTTGTTTCCGGTTAAGTTCGTTCATGGAGAACCAACAATAGAATTTACAATGGAGGAGTTAAATGATTTTACAAGAGAAGACGGACTGCATCAAGCAGTTGCGGTGAAGCTTTCATACGGAAAACCCGATTTACAGGAGAATAGAAGGATTTTTCCATCGCAATTCGAGATTCAAGGTTGCTGTAACATTGGACAGCTTGAGTTTCATCATCTGTTGGTAAGGTTTGATTTGTATAACGATTATGTTCAGTTCCTTTCAAGGTCGACTAGATATATTAAATCCAAATGTGATGAATACTTCTTTAGATCTTTTCCATGGACGGTAAGATTTAATCCAAAGGAGGAAACGTCTCTGGCAGTTGTATGGATTTCCCTTCCTGGGTTGCCACCTAATTTTGTTTGCTAAGAGGTCGTTAATGTCTATTGCTTCAGCTGTGGGTAAAGCTCTAGCTGTGGACAAGGCAACACAAGAGAGAACGAGACCTAGTGCTGCTAGGGTCAACGTTATACTTGATCTTCTAAACAAACATCCTAAAAAAGTTAGGCTACATATTGTGGACAAAGTTTCTTGTAAATCTGTCGTGCATTACCAAGAGGTGGTGTACGACAATCTTCCAAAGTATTGTACTTATTGCAAACATCAAGGGCATGAGGAAAGAGTTTGTAGATCGATGAAAGCAAAATCTGGAGAGGACGTGAAGGCAAAGGAGGCCACAATTGATAGTAATCTGCTTGATATTGATGTGAGTAATATTGAGCAATTAGAAGGGGATGCTAGAGACTTTTTGAATGCTAAAAGAGCTGGCCAAATTGTTGTGGAAATTCCAGAAAATGATGCCAGCAGTGGTAAGCAGCAGGTGGTGCAGATGCAACCTAATGAAGGTAAAATACAGTCTACTGTGAGAAGTAGGGGTGTGTTTATTGTTGAACAAAATCGTGAAGTTCAACTGGAGCAGGGGATGTCTCATAATAAAACAGGTGATCGAGTTGTGCATACAGCGCTCAAGGAAGCTGTTTTTAGTGTTCCTAATGAAACTATAGTTCAAATTGAGGCTAGACAACCTGATGGAGGACACAAAAATGTTATAGTCATTGAAAAGTATAATGTAGCTGATGTCGATCGAGTTTCGCATGGTGTACTGCCTGAAGCTACTGATGCTATTAGTCATAAATTTATTGTTGCTTCAGGTCAGGTTAATGCTAGGCAGAAGATGGAGGGTTTAAGTGTGGAGCAGATCCAGAAAAATCCAACTGGAGAGGATAAAAGGTTGAATGATATTCCTGCTGCGACGATTTTCGTGAGGATGTACACGGCTACTGCTGGTGCTTTGAACGCTGCTGCGGATCAAGCTGCTAACTCAAACATGTCTAATATGTATCAACAACAGGTAGGGACATTAGGTGATGAGGCAGTTATTCAACAAATTCAAGTAGTCAATCCTCACAATGCTAGTGCACAAATGACTAGTCATGAAGGGCCATAGGTGCTTGTCAATGATGTTGTTGCTGCTTCGGGTGAGGTTGCTGATAGATCATACATGGTCAATAAAGTTGAGGTTGTAGCTGAGCAATCAAGCAACATTAACCAAGGAAAAGCCAAGGATCAACAGGTTACTAAAGTAACTTCTAAACCTACTGCTGCTAACAGGAAAGTACAGGAACTTGGCAAGGGAGATGTTGCTACTGGAATTATTGGCAAGGGAGATGTTAGTGCAATTGATGGAACATCTGCTAACAAGAAGGTTGCTGATATGTTAGAAGCAGCTTCTCAACATGGGCAACATTCACATGCTAAGGGTTGGTCATTAGTGCATCGATCACCTAGAAAGAAGGTGTCTTCAGATAATAAAAATCTGGAATCAGGAGCAGAAACCTTTAGGTGTTCTAACTCGTTTGATGCCCTGGTCTGTGCACATGAACATGGTGAGAAAGATTTGTATCATAAAGAAATAAGTGCAAGTTCAAAAAATAGGCAAGAGAGGTCTCCGGGCAGTACAAAAAACCAGCAGAATTCTGGTGTTCCAGTAAATGCATCAAAAGACATTGTTCCAGTTGTGGAGGAGCTAACGGGCAAACAAGCACATAGCTCCAATACTCCGACGTTGCATTTTTAAATTATCAAGAATGCCCAGAATGCAATGATGTTGCATACTACTATGGTTAAACAACCATTGGTCACGTTGAACACCTCTGTGTTTGAAGTTCCCTCACAATCAAGGGAGTCGTTTGGTGAATATGGGGGTGAGTCTAGGCAGTTGATGTTGTCCACTGGAAATAACAACGAAATTATACAAGCAAATGTGAGGGAGATGGTTATTAAATCCAAATTTTTGGCTGACCAATGTGAGGAGGATGAAGATGAGGACTGGGGTGTTGAAATTGCTGAGGAATCGACTGATGTTACTGATCAAGAAAGTGCAGATGAAGATGTGCTATCAGTTGCCTCACCAACACTGCCAAAAACATATGCAAAACTCAAAAGCAAGCTGAATTTGAATGCCCCAGAATTTGTTCCCAGAAATTCTCCAATAATGCCTAAGCCTGGACAGCAGCAACATATTAAATCAACTGCTGGGCAGTAACATGTTGGAACAAGCATGCCAGGGGGTACTTCGATGAAAAATGCAGTAACGCCCAACACTGGGGCAGCAGCAGTTTCTTACAAACACTCCAGCAGCTGCTTGTGTGGATGATCAAAATGCAGCAATAACGTCAATCTCTGGGCAGCAGCAACAGCGTGAAGGTACTCCAGCTATATCGTTGGAGGACAGAATGCTTTTGGACGCATAGGTAAATTCTAAACCTCTTCTTTCTTTAACTCCATCATAAGCAGTTAGCACTGGACAGGGGGTTAAGAACAGGAAAAACATGCAAGCTATTGAGCAACATCAAGGCAAGGTAAATGCTTTGATGACACAAGATTTTGTTCAAGACATGCCACATCCAGTGAATGTGGGCAGAGATATGTACGAAGAGGGAGAGGAAGATTACATGTTACAACAATGCCGGGAAGAGGCAGCAAAAAAAGGTGATTTATCACCTATGCATAGCGGAAAGAGCAAGAAGTCTTATACAAGGAAGAAGAGTTGGGACGGCAGGGTCAATGAGGAAGCAAATATTAGGCGACTCCCAATGAGAGTTGCCAAACAAAAACAGGCTGCCCCAACCACATCTACAAGGTCGAACCGTTCGAAAAAGAAATAATGAATTTTGAAGACATATTGAAGAGATGTGATGAAGATGACAAAGAAATAATGAATTTTGAAGACATATTGAAGAGATGTGATGAAGATGACAAAGAAATAATGAATTTTGAAGACATATTGAAGAGATGTGATGAAGATGACAAAGAAATAATGAATTTTGAAGACATATTGAAGAGATGTGATGAAGATGACAAAGAGTTACAACTTGAAGAAGTTGCAAGTTTGGGCAAGAAAGGACAAGACTTTAATTCCTACTACATATTATTCTTTCACTTTATTAGTATAGTCATTTGTAATATCATCACAGAGTATGTTATAAACTTTGTGATGATCTTAGAATATTTAGTGCTCCCTAGTTCTTACTTTTTACATGCATGCTAGTAGGTGAGGCTATTTTATGCCTCAATAGGATTAGTAAGGTAAGGTTTGCCCAGTATATGATTGCTCATATCCTATGCCTTTGGGAAAATATCCAAACGGTAATGAGATTATATGCCCTCGTGAGACTTTGCCGGCAGCTACACCATGATCCTCTACAAGAGGTTGCCATCATAAGGCAATGTGAGGCGCAGAGGAGTGATTATATAGCCAAGGCATAGAGGCAACACTACTGGTGCTATTGTCCCCCTTATTTGTACTCTTCCTTTGTGGTTTTTATTTTTAGTATTAATAAAAAAAAAAAGATGAGTTTTGCCTAAAAAAAAATCGGCTTACTTAGTCTTAGAGACTAAGTGCCATCACGACGCATGTGGTGGGATTTTGGGTCGTGGCAGGTGAGCTATGTGACTGATTTTTTGACTATACCATTATTCAAAAGGGAAGAAATAAAAGTGAAAAGAGTGCAAGAGTGCAACCGATTCCTAGTTTTGGACAACTTACATATCCAGGGTTATAAGGGAATCAAGTCGCGTGTAGTTCAAGGAGAGTGGCAGAATAATGATTTAGAGAGCCGAGTGAGGTTCCGTCGAGACTCCGGTCCGCGGTCTTGTTTATTACGTCAAAATAAAAAGGAAATTACATTAAAGAAAAGAAAAAAAAAATAGATCCTATCTACTCTTCTTGTCTTGAGTCTTCCAGCTTTACTTGAAATCTTGTAAACCCGCATTGGTACCTTGAGATTAAAGATTGATTCTTGAAGCTCGAACTTGAATTAAGACTTGGATTGAGTCTTGAATGCTCACTTCTTAATTAGAAGCCGAGAAGATGAATTTTGAGATGCTGGTCGATGTGTGCATTACGTCAAAGCTCGCCCCCAAACGTCTTTGCGCTCGAACAACAATCTTTTTTCGATCATAGTTTGGAGCTTGATTCTTGGAAAACGGAGTTGTTGATACATTATCAAGGCTGACTCCGACTATCTTGTGATAGAAAGACTTCTTTCTTCTGATGGGAATTGGAACTGCAAGATTTAAATCATCGCAATATGTGCTCTACGACCGGGGCCTGCAAAGCTATCAAAGACGAACATAACGAACAAAATTTTCTGCCCCAGTTTTGCACTAGAAAAATTTTGTTAGTTATTAGAGAAATCTATAAACTAACTATGTGAGGATATGCAACCAAGGGGGTAGTACCATGTGTTACCAAAAGGGAATGGAATTAGGGGATGGTACCCTATATTACTGAAAGAAAATGTGACCGGGGGATGACGCCCTGTATCATTGAAAAAGAAATGTAAACAGGGTTGGCGCCCTGTATCGCTAAAGGAAACATAACTAGGGTTGGCGCCCTGTATTACTGATAAAGAATGTAACCAGGGGTTGGTACCCTATATTATTGAAAGAAAATGTAACCAGGGATTGGCACCCTGTATTACTGAAAAGTGAATGTAACCAGGGGTTGGTACCATGTATTACTAGGATGGGAATGTAACTAGGGATTAGCACCTTGTATTACTGAAAAGGAATGTAACTAGGGGTTGGTACCCTGTATTACTGAAAAGGAATATAACCAGAGGTTGGTACCCTGTATTACTGATATGAGCTGAATCCCCCTAGGCGAAAAGGTTCTACCCGAGTTAAGCTACAAGAAGCAAGCCTGGGCGAAGAGTACTTCTACCCGAAACTATAAGCTGAATCCCCCTAGGCGAAAAGGTTATACCCAAGTAAAGCTATGAAAAGCAAGTGTGGGTGAATGATACTTCTACCCAGAAATATGAGTTGGATCCCCCTAGGCGAAAAAGGTACTATCCGAGTTAAGCTACGTAAAACAGCCTGAGCGAAGGATACTTCTACTCGAAAATATGAGCTGGATCCCCCTAGGCAAAAAGGTTCTACCTGGGTTAAGCTACGTAAAACAGCCTGAGCGAAGAGTACTTCTGCTCGGAAATATGAGCTGGATCCCCCTAGGCAAAAAGGTTCTACCTGGGTTAAGCTACGTAAAACAGCCTGAGCGAAGAGTACTTCTGCTCGGAAATATGAGCTGGATCCCCCTAGGCGAAAAGGTTCTACCTGGGTTAGGCTACGTAAAACAGCCTGAGCGAAGAGTACTTCTACCCGGAAATATGAGCCAGATCCCCCAAAGCGAAAAGGTTCTACCTGGGTTAAGCTACGTAAAATAGCCTCAGCAAAGAGTGCTTCTACCCGGATATATGAACTGGATCTTCCTAGGCGAAAAGGTTCTACCTGGGTTAAGCTACGCAAAACAGCCTGAGCGAAGAATACTTCTGCTCGAAAATATGAGCTGGATCCCCCTAGGCGAAAATGTTGTACCTGGGTTAAGCTACATAAAACAGCCTGAGCGAAGAGTACTTCTACCCGAAAATATGAGCTAGATCCCCTTAGGCGAAAAGGCTCTACCTGGATTAAGCTACGTAAAACAGCCTGCGCGAAGATTACTTCTACCCGAAAATATGAGGTGGATCCCCCTAGGATAAAAGGTTCTACCTGGGTTAGGCTATGTAAAAACAGCCTGAGCGAAGAGTATTTCTATCCGGAAATATGAGTTGGATCCCCCTAGGCGAAAAGGCACTACTTGGGTTAAGCGACGTAAAACAACCTGAGCGAAGAATGCTTCTAGCTGGATATATGAGTTGTATCTTTATAAGCGAAAAGGTTCTAACTTGGTTAAGCTATGTAAAATAACCTGAGCGAAGAGTACTCCTGCTCGGAAATATGAGCTGGATCCCCCTAGGCGAAAAGGTTCTACCTGGGTTAAGCTACGTAAAATAGCCTGAGCGAAGAGTACTTCTACCCGAAAATATAAGCTAGATCCCCCTAGGCGAAAAGGCTCTACCGGGATTAAGCTACGTAAAACAGCCTGAGCGAAGAGTACTTCTACCCGAAAATATGAGTTGGATCCCCCTAGGCGAAAAGGTTCAACCTGAGTTAAGCTACGTAAAACAGCCTGAGCGAAGAGTACTTCTACCCGAAAATATGAGTTGGATCCCCCTAGGCGAAAAGGTTCAACCTGAGTTAAGCTACGTAAAACAGCCTGAGCGAAGAGTACTTCTACCCGAAAATATGAGCTGGATCCCCTTAGGCGAAAAGGTTCAACCTGGGTTAAGCTACGTAAAATAGCCTGAGCGAAGAGTACTTCTATCCTAAAATATGAGCTGGATCCCTCTAAGCGAAAAAGTTCTACATAGGTTAAGCTACGAAAATGAGAGGTACGAATAGTAGTGATGCATGATAAAATAAAGGAAAGTGGATATTTTGAGGAAAATTACTTTTGGTGATATTTTTCCTTTAGGAGTCACCATTCTATACTACTTTGTTACTGTGCAACCAAAGAAAAATTGTGAGTTTTCAATGTGGTGGTCGGTTTGTGGCCTTGATTCCCTGAGTGGCTTGAATTCACGGCCACTGATGTCGAAGAACTGATTATGTCAGTGTGGTACCGAGATGCTCGGATACTCTATATCGCATTCTGGAGACCTGGGCTTTCCGATGTTGCCCCCGACGGTTTCATACCCGGATGTCCATGGTATTGTTGACCCTTATCCCCAAGGCAAGGCAATTTTTCCTTTAAAATCAAACTTAGTTGTCTTGCACCCAATACCAGTTTGTGTCCGTAGTGCTATCAATTTTTCTATGAAGCAAGTCTTGCTTAGCGACCTTTTCGATTTGATTGAAATACTTTGTTCGGCTTATCGTAGGAGATCACATACGTGCATGTGCCTTTGTCAATGTTGCGTATGCCCCACATCCTTTGTTTTGCACTTTTGGGAAAACGGTAATCAATTTTGTGGACCTTTCTTTGTTGGCTTCTAAACAAATAGACCAGCAAAATTTTCTCTTTGGAACTTCCGTATGCATGAACCCTGAGATCTTGTTTAACTTCAACAACTTATTGTTCATGTTGCTTCCTGGGTATGTCCTGTTGATGTGCTAGGATAGAACTCGCTTTGTACAGTTAGAAAGCTGGTAACAGATTTGAAATTATTTCTTGTTTGTTTTAATAAAGACTAAATCAAAAGAATAATGCAAATGCACACAATGGCGCGATATAGAAGTGAGAAGGAATAGTATTTAACTAAAAATGCCATTTTATGGGAGTAAGAAAGAAGAAAAACAAAAAATGATCTTTTGAATATGGTAGCCAACTTTAATAATCATGACATGCATTTTGGACTGAGCGGCTAAATCTAATCCAACCAATCTACCTTTTATTCTTATTGTTCCCTTTCATCTTTGAAGTTGGCCTCTTTGAGCCAATCATTTGCATCAAATCACAGCTCACCTTCGACCGGTAGTGCCCCGAAAGGTTTTTACCAACCGAACTCTCTCATTTTTATCTATACTTACCATTGTCTTACAGTGCCTATGAGGTTTTTCACTAGTAAGATTCTCTCTCTCTTTTTTTTTTGCTTTCTTGTGTGAGCAACTTGACATTGTTCTATGTCATTTGACAAATGCTGCTTATTATGTGCTTCGCTTGGCATTCGTAAAGACTAATTATGAGGTTTTTATTTAGAAGGCTTTTGGATAGGGTTAGAAAGAAATGGTTGCATAAAGGCTCAAAATAGATTCAAGATGAGGGGGTTGTATCTTACAACTCTTGGAATCGACTCTTCATAAAAACATAAAAAAAAAACTCCTGCCTCAGTTTCAGATACTGGAGAATTTTTATTTTTGATTTGGTTGGACTGAACCCTAGTATAGAGCTGCTTACGTATCCTTTAAAAGAATCAAGTCAATCGTAGTTCAAACATCTCACCTAAAAATTTGTTGTTTTGCTTTTTTTTTTTTACTTGAACTTTTTAAAAGTTGCCCCAATTTATACCTTTTGGGANAGGCTCAAAAGGGGTGACGAAGGATATAAAGTATTTGGATAGAAGAAAAAGGGTCTCCTAGCCTCGAGAACACCAATTATTCTATCCCTCACAATTAGAACATTGATGGACATGTCGCTTTCTGGGTCTTGTCTAGTTGTATAGCTCTATAGTCAATATTTGTTTGCAACAAATAACCTTTGACAATTTGGAGCCACCCTTTCTTGGTCTTTGTC